AAGCAGAATGTTGTGGCTTGGTTCTGCTCACTTGGGCAAGAAACCTGATGCGAGATCTTAAAAACATTGTAAACAGGTACACATTCTTATAATAATTTAAACAATTATTAATTGTTTTGTTACTTAATTGTTTCATTATATCTTGTATTGCACGAGTGCATTTAAGGTTTGCAATACAATTGATGGAGTACACACAAGCAAAAACACGACTCCAGATTGGATTTTTGTTAATGTAAGTCATTTTATATTTATGTATTATATCATTCATTTTATATGTCAAATTAATATATTATTTTTTGTAGTGTAATAGGCAACCAGGATCTTATGAGTGCGGATATTATGTTATGCCATTGGATGTGGCTGATTGTTGTTAGCAAGATTGAGGATACATGGAATCGGGTTTGCTTAAATTTAGTATTCAATAAAAGACCCAGTATTGTGTCATTGGATACTCTGTTAAATTATCTTTTTCTTGTAACATGTATTTTCGGACAGGGAAGCATTGCCCATAGAGACCATTGACGATATTAGAAACACATGGGCCGATAAGTTTGTTAAAGTTAGAAGTAGGCAAGTTTAGTTATTAATTTAGTACTTAGTTTAGTAGTTAGTTTAGTAGTTACTTTAGTTACTTTACTAGTTAGTTTACTAGTTAGTTTATTAGTTAGATTAGTAGTTAGTGTATTTGGTAGATAAGTAGTTGGATACACTATAATTTTGGATACAATTTTATTTTTGGATGCACATTCAATTGTTTATATCTTGTACATTGTCTGCCTGGGTTGTATTCAAATTTGCGGGTATGTATATATACAAACATTGGGTACCACTGTATAAACAAAACGTCCATTTTAAAAAAAAAATAGACTTTCTACGTCGGTTCATACCATAACCGACGTAGTAAACACGTACTCGCTTGAGCGACGATTGTACTCGCTTGAGCGACGAAAGCTTCAAACAAAGGGGCCTCTCGGGTTCCATCTCGCTTGAGCGACGAGTGTACTCGCTTAAGCGACGAAAGCTTCAAACAAAGGGGACTCTCGGGTTCCATCTCGCTTGAGCGACGAGTGTACTCGCTTAAGTGACGAAAGCTTCAAACAATGGGGACTCTCGGGTTCCATCTCGCTTGAGCGACGAGTGTACTCGCTTAAGCGACGAAAGCTTCAAACAAAGGGGACTCTCGGGTTCCATTTCGCTTGAGCGACGAGTGTACTCGCTTGAGCGACGAGTGTACACTTTCAACGTCGGGTATGAATAACCGACGTTGAAAGCCTAAACTTTCAACGTCGGTTATCTATACCCGACGTTGAAAGTGTATACTTTCAACGTCGCCTGAAACAACGTCGGTTGTATAACCGACGTTGAAAGCCTTATATAACCGACGTTGAAAGGCATATCTGTAGCAGTGATGATTAAAAATAAAAATAAATTTGTTTGATGTATTTAGTATATACATGACTTAGATGTTAGAATATATATTATGAAAATAAAATGTGTTATGTTAAATATTATTATGTATATAGAAAAATATTTTGTTGTAAGTTTAGAAATATCACAAGGAATTCTCATATGTATGTTGTACTGTGACACATTAGTGAAAGTTATCATATTAGCTTTGGGGAAGAAATAATATATTAATATGTAAGTGATGTATTGAATTTGATATTATGAAAGAGATATCATAAATTTATTAATATTAGACTCATTTTGAAGAATGTATAAGTTGGTGAAAATTAAAAGAAACATTTATGACTTAGCTTGCAATGTAAAAGAAAAAACTATATCTGATAAGTCATAGACATTTACCTTATTACATGAATGAATGTGTTTTAATTATGTACCTATATTAGAAATATCACTTAGGGGAGATAATGTGACAAATATAAATATCTGAGTTTAATTTAACAAATGTGAGTTTTTCAAAAATAGAATTAAGTGTACGTGATTTGTTTGGTAATATATGATTATGATATATAATTGGACACATGATTCATTGTTTACTTGTTTTATATTACATAATTTTTTTATGAAACAAAATGGGTAAATGATTTGAAATTTTTATTACTAGCTTATTCTGATTTATACTATGTGTTGATTTAAATTGCTACAACCACATTGTTATATATGAATAAAAAATATTTTAGGTGACTAATTTTAACACTAAACTATTAAGGGAGAAGTACAAATAAAATTTTTAAAATATATACTTTGAATATTTTATTTCAAATTATATAAATGATATCTTATTTAATTTAATGTGATAATGCTCTTATTGATATATTTAAATATATTGTATAAATAAATATACGTATTTATATCTTTAGTTTTTCAGTATTATGTAATATATGAGTTGTTGAAATATTATATTTGTAATGTGAATGTATTCTAACTAAATTATTAAAATAATATTTTTATTAATATAGACTTTAATATATATATATATATATACATATATATATATATATTATCAATAAATAAAAAATATATGATAAATATATATTTCAAAAAAATAATTTAAAGTCAATAATTTATTATATAACTATTTAATAAGTAAATAAGAGTTTAAAATATCTTTATACTAAAAATTCATATACTACTTGTAGATGATATTCAGGGAATATTAATTTAAATATTTTTCGATAAAGAAAAGGATATTGAAAATGTCAGCTAAACGTTCGGGAAAACAACTGAAATTTGCTAAAGGAAAAAAACTTCAAAAAAAAATATATTTATAAATATGAAATTTGTAATTATACTTATTTTTAAAAAGTATTTTTCTCTTTCATCTTTATACGTATTTTTTTCTTCTGTAAAAGTTGACTAGTTATGATCTTTATGAATTTACTTATCTTCAAACCATTTTCATTAGATTTATCCAAACAAATGTTAATCCAATAATAATAATAATTAATTGTACATAACTTATTAAAATAATCTAATTTTGACTGTTATCCTAAACACACCGTTATAATTTTAAGAATTTGGTATAAAAGTTAAGAAACAACTATCTGTGTGATCTGTGATATATAGGAGAAAGAATAAGTATTTTACATGCATAAATTGTTTTCTATTTATTTCTTCTCTTAATCTCTATCCTAATAAGCTATTTTACATCGATTGTGAGAATAGAATTTCTCAAAATCAAAGAACTTTCAGAAATGAGAAGTTTACATGCAATGGATTTCTTAGTTGCCGCTTTCTAAATTAGGAAATCAGAAATGAGAAATTTGGGGTGCTTTTTACTTGTGTAGGGTTCAGTGTGGGTTTAAACTTTGCAAGTATGGAAGAAGAGAGGTGATTGAGATTTGGTTTGAATTCAACCTAATAAGCATGACAACAATGGCTGCAATGTCGGTTTAGAGAAACCAAATTAACGGATTGCCAATGTTAATCGGTGCTATATATAATATTATCCAACTTTGATTTTTCTTTCAATCTTCTTTTTTTTACATTCTTTTAAGCACTCATTTTTTATTTCTTTTTTCTTCTTCACATCACACACTACTCATTATTATATCTTACAATTTTTTCTTTCCTTCTCTCCTCTCGATGCTAATCTCACATGGGTGTGGAAAATTACCTTTGAATATCATATTATATTCGAGATAGAACTAAGTAACACGTAGTAGCCAAAGAAAATTTAAGGGGTGATGATATTTTCACAACCGTAAAAAAAAACAACTCAAAAAACAACTCATTCTATTAATATAATAATTATGAAAGAGATTAAATAAAAATGAAAACAAGTTAAAATTATTATTATAATATTAAAAGTGAGTTGTTTGTTAAAGTTGTATAAAATTGGGTTGTCAAAGTATCATTTTTCTTTTGATAATGATAGACACTATTTGCATTGAAGACCTAATAAAATTTAATTTTAGGTTTATAAAAAAGAAGGAAAGAGCACTTATGATTAATTTTTAGTGCTTTTAATTTTTAAAATTTAGGAGGAAATTGCTTTCAGTTTTTTTTTTTTTAGTTTCTCAAATTAAAAAAAAAATACAGTTGCATTTCAAATTTACTATTTAGAAACTAAATTGATTTAAAAAATTATTTTGGTGTTTTAAATCTAGTATTTAAAAATAAAATAAAAAATTTTTTTTTTCTAAATTTAAGGGATATTAAAAACATAATTAAGTCTTACTTTTCCAATTCTCTCATTTGAAATAACTATTTTTCTCTAAGTTTAGTTTAGGTCTCATTTATTATTAAAGGGGCCCTCTTTGGATGTGTTCATTAATTCAGGTTAGGTTGCCTGCGAGTTTATGCAACAATTTTTCAATACCTAGTCAGACATGATGTTGCAATATAAGGATAAAATAAACAGAAAATTAAAAATTAATTCTAATTAATTAATTGATCTCCGTCGACTAAAAGAGATTGATGCATAATTTTTAGATGATGACAACATATAGATCATAGTAGCGATTTCGTTTTCTCTGTCACTCATTTAGGATAACATATTCAAAAAATTACGAAGAGATGGAACGAAGAATTGTTTGGCTTTTTGAATATAGACAAGTAAGGGTCAAATACTCGTTATGACACTTGATTTGATTAAGATCTTGTCAATCCATGTTGAAGAGAAAATTTGCCAGAAGAGAATGAGCACACGAAAGACATGTATATGTATGCATGCACCCTTTCTATAATGGTTGTTAGAAATGGAAAAAGGAATGGAAACGATTTACAGTCGCGGACATTCGGGGGCCTATGCTGTGAAGTAATTCACTAAACCATTCATACATTATATTTTAGTAGCACATGTTGAAATCAACATATATTTTTTACTTGGTCCTTATGATTTTACTCATCTTTGTTTCTGCTGTAATTGTGTGAAAAACAGGACAGATTAATAAAAGCTTGTTTAGGGTTTAGGGTGAATAACACGTACCTTTTTAATAGTACTAACAGATTGAATGATACAATATTTTTTTTAAGACTCTGGAAAATTATATAAGTTAGTACAACAACTAAAGCAGTGTAATATTATAAGGATATTAATCGTCTCCCCAAGCCTCATCTCTTAATTTTTGCCTGGTAACAATACGTTCCCTCCTAGCATTTTCTTGCTTTCTATACTCTCGGGACCCAAAACTTGTGGGTGACAATTTTAACCCCATGCTATGAGCAATCAGCCTCTGCGCTGCTTGGGCTGAAGTTTTCGGCCGTTGCCGTGGTGGTTCCAGGTCTGAATGAACGAACAACAGCAAAACCATGTAAGACAAAATATATAATTCTTACCATTGATTGATTGACATGTGCAATAAACATAGAATTTGCCTTTCATCCAGGCAAAGTGTAAAGTCTTACTTTACAGCAACCTGTTTAATAAACAATTATGTATTTTTCTTTTTCTTCTGGTTTAGTTGATGTAATTGTGCAGTACTCCTGTCTCATTATATGGTCGTTTGGGCTATTAGTTTGTCTCAAAATATTTATCATTACAAAAAACTAAGCATCAAATTCTCTTTCCAATATTATCCCCACATAAGATATTTTTCCGATAAACATTACACCCAAAACTAAAATGAATTCACAATTACATTACATTTTAATTCCGTTATTAAGGGTGATAGTATAAAAATAATTTTATCAAAGTAATTTGTGTAATTAATAATTATCTTACAAATCATAATGAGACAAGAAGAATTTATTGTTTATTTTAGACGTAAGAAGTTTCACAAACAAGCAATCAAATTCAACCACTAAATAAAGTTGCAAAATACATGAGATTTTGGGAATAGCAATTAAATCAAATTGGTTGGCAGTAAAACCAGTGTCGAGGGAACAAGCCAGGCTGTTAGAAGATCACAAAATACATCTATAAACATAGCAATTAGTAAGAGACCCAATAAAAAAAAAGTAGGAACTGTCTTGTTATTAACTCTAAACACCTAGTAGTAATGAAAGTTTAAAATAAAGAACCAGGTTGCTTAAAATGCCCCAAAATTGGGACTGTTCATAGATTCAATTGAATCAGGATAAACTTAAAATCAAATTTGCATCAATCATATTTTAATTGGGTTGATTTGGTTCGGCTAATTGGGTTGATTTAGTTTTTATGTCCTCTTATTGTCTATAACTTTTAATACATCAAAAAGTTAAAAAAATTGTTTATCAGGTCATCACTTTGAAAAAAGGATAAATTCAAGAACCCAACCAACTATAATTGGTTTGGTTTTGAAGTAAAAATAATTAATTAACTAAACCAATTTAATTGGTTTCATTTAGATTTAGATCATTGGATTTACTATAGATCAATCCAATAAATCCAAAATACTACCACACGGAAGAAATCACATGATATAGGCAAAGCACACTACAAAATTATGAACTCAAAATATTACAGCAACAAAGTTAACTAATACTTCAAAAATCGAGCATAGCTTTTTAACATGACTTTCCTCAGGTTCCCAGCATTTCAATTTCATAAGTAAATGCATACAAAGAGAATTTTAATCTAAACTAGGAGAGGCACAGGCACCCGATTTTTATTTTGTTATTTTCTTGTTCTAAAATACTTAGCAAAACATAGTATTTACACTCAATTGTAAACGTTTGTCAGTTTTTGAGAAAATAGCATGTAACTATTTAAAAGGCAGTTACTTTGTAGTTGTTCATATTGTGTGAACGATATTTTCTATTTTATTTTATCTTTTAAACAATATACATAATGCATTATTGTGCAAAATTTAAGGACAAAGGCATCGAAGAAAATGTGTAGATGAAACGGAAGATACATATCACCATTATAAATTGAGATAGATTAAACCACCGTTTTGAACTAAAAAGAAAAACAGTTAAGTAAAGTACCTCTGGGTTTAACTGAAGCAAGGAGAGTATCATTTTCATCAAGTATCCTCGTGGTGAATGAACAGCGAACACTATTTAGAGCGTCAAGTGCTGCATTATAAATTAATGGTATTGAATGGTCAATTAATCAAATTAAAAGACTAGACATAAAAAAAAAACTACCCAAATTGATGTAGTAAGAGTAAAACACATGGATTCATTTTTTTTGTGTGTGTGAAAAAATAATGTAGAAATCATTAGCTTAAATCCAATTCAACCAGCACTCTTAAAGAAGAAAAGAAATAGGTAATAACAATATGCCATGCCCAGCTTCTACTTGTTGGTGATCAGTGATGAGAAAGATGTTGTTCAAGGGAGCATCCTTTTAATTAAAGAGGGGGTACTAGGAACAGACTCTTCTTAATACAGAGTGCATATGTCATCTGAGATATAGTTTACAGAAATGAGTAGCATGATAGTCTCCATGCTGTCTTGAAGGGATTGTTACACATGTTCCCGCACACCCATACTCTGTTTTCCAATATGCAAAGACAAGGAGAAAGCTCAAAATTTCTTTCTTTCAAATCATGATGCTAGTCAGATCAATGCAAATTTCAGATTTTCACCAGTTACAAATTATTTACACACACAACCTTTAAATTAGAGGATGGTGATTGATGTTTGAGAGAGATCTGAAGTGGAAGATCCAAAAGATACATGTATTAGGGTTCAAGCATTAATTTTCTTTTTCATAAAGATACATGTATCATCAATTTCAATGGTTATTGTATTTAAAACTCAACTTTAGCTGCATGCAACCTTAGTTCATCATCATAATGCATTCACAAAAACACCTTCATGTATGTAAATATCATAAAAAATATTACATAAGAAAACAATAATAAATCCGGTAACTTTGTAATTACCAACTGAAGGTGTTCGAAATACTGCAAGTGCAACTGTATCATTAACCCAACGAATCACAAATCCACGGTCTTTAAAGTCCTCAAAAAGCTTCTCCAGCTCTGTCGTCCTAGTACTTGGTGAAAAATCAGCAAGAACAAGAACATGGCCGGTACCATATTTTGCTGAAATGAACAAACAAAAATCATAACCAAAGCATTTTAATACAATATCTTGTCAAGACGAAACCTAGCATAAAGGATAGATTACATCTTGAAAGCACAAAAAAACTCTGGAAAAATGAAAAAGTATGATCTGGTGTAGTAGAAACAAATAGCAAGCAAAACCAAAATGCACACTACAAACCATTGCATATGAAAAATAGCTTTGTGGCACAACATACACACATAACTACTTTTTTCCTTAATAATTGAAATGCCATGACGTATCACTTACTGCTTTGTACATCTCTATTATCTTCTGAATTACAACAAGTCTCTGCTTGCTCAACATCATCGATCGAGCTATCAAGCAACTGATCACTATAAAGCTCTTGTTTTTTATAAGAGAATGTTCCTCTTCCACGCCTTTTTGGGGTTCCACTTTTGGTATTCTCCAATTTCAGATTTGATATTCCAGATACACAATCAGAGGATCCCGTGGGTAGTAACTCATCAGGTTCACGATCGGCTATCGCTTCCCAATCTGTAATAACAATTCACAATGCACAGTTGCAATAACTTACATGATTGATATAATAAATAAAATTATTCAGATGACGTCTTTCAATCGTTACTTCCAATCATCATTCAGACACTAGCATCACTTACTATCGTTACTTTCCTTTCTTTATTTCTCACAGAACACACAAAACATTTGAAATACAGTCTCCATTAAATGAAGAGTAGTGAGAATTGTTTCATTAATTAGTTACGATTTGCTTATATTTTGTTCCACAATCCCACACAAATGGTTTTTCTCTCTTATATTCAAAAGTAAGAGGGAATACATATCAATTCACTCTTGAGATAATTATGAAAATTTGGACCTGGACCTAATTAAATTTCAAAAGCAATCTCATGAAGAGTTATCTCCTAATTTATATACATTGTTTTAACCATATTGCTATTTAATATGAAATCTTCAACAGACTCCATCAGGTCGAGGATGTTAATTTGTGATACTATAAGTCCATCAATAATAGTTAGATGATCTGATACCGTAGAACTTGAGCTTTTACTTAGTTTAAATCCAGAAGCTAGCTCTAATTATTGTCTCTACTCATATACAATACCATAGCCAAGTCAATGTGTAATCTAAGACAGTAACAAAAAAAGCCCAGTACCGTCATCCGAAGAAGCAGTCGACTCAGCACGCTTTTCAACGCTTCCATCAGAACGACTCAAAGCAACAGTCGGATTATCTACTCCGTCCTCGTTGGACTCTTTCAGAACTTTATCGCCGCTGAGAGTAATTGAAAATTAACAAATCCGTGACTCCAAGAAAAGGAAAATTATGAAACGATCGTAATTCATAAATGATATATATATATATATATATATATATATATATAGAGAGAGAGAGAGAGAGAGAGAGAGAGAGAGAGAGAGAGAGAGACTGAGATGTACGGGGAATTGGAACGGTGAAGTTGTTTGAGGAGAGAGGCGCGAGATTGAAGGTGATCGGCTTTGAGAGAGAAGCCTTTGGAGGAGTAAAGGTTGGCCAAGTCTGAGAGAGCAGAGGCCAACGGAAGTTGCGAAGCGGAATCGGAAGGGTTTAGGGTTTGGACGACGGATTCGAGCAGTGAGATTGCGGATTCCACGTCGCCGGCGTCTACTAGGTCTTCCACCGTTTCACTCCAGTTTTCATTTCCTTTCTCTTTCTCCATTTTGATTCCGATTTTCCCCACACTCCTCTCACCGAACGTACAAAATCAACAAATTGTGCTAGCAATTACATGGAGAGATACAGAACCTGGACGAATGAAAACATATATATATTGAAAAGCTTTTTATTGTTTGAAATTTTAAAAAAATTTAAAATACGTTAAATGTTGCACTTTTTTAGCGTTTGTGATTTTAAATTAAAATTAAGTTAACGCGAATTCATGTTATCGTAGAGTAACGAGCATGAATTATCCAGAAAAATATTAAATCTATGATTGAACAAATATATTAGAAGACATTCACCATGGCTATAGCTCTCAAAATACATGTTCTAGTTATATTTTTACGGGTTGAGATTATTTTAGGCGTAGTCCATTACAATATTGGGCCACACTATATCGGTCCTATCTCAAAATACAAAAATATTCTAGATTAAAAAAATATTATTTTTTATATTTAACTCCACTGAATAAAAGAAATTTGAATTATTAGATATAATAATTATATATATGTATATAACTTAAAAATGCACACGTTCTAATAAGTAATATAATTTTTTATCATTTTAAATTTTAATTAATTCCTGAAAAAAAAAGTCTTCTCAGCTTGACTTTACACACTCTATCCTTACTTAAACTCGTTTAATTTAAAACACTTAACTAAAAAAACCAAAATAATTTGATTGAATTGGGGTGATTTTTTTATATTTCAATTACACTTTATTTATAAACATATATACAAATCTCTCAGGGAGAAATCTAGTTAATTAATTTTTCTGTAAAGATATTATTTTTTTCAACTAAACACTGTACTGTGGCATGCAAGTTTAATTCTATATGAAATAAATAATTTTATAATATCTCCGGTTGAAAATAAGAAAATCAAATCAAACCATTAAATCAAATAGATTCATAACTTGACCCATATTTATTTGTCGGTGTATAAAAATACGTTAAAGAGATAAGAAATAAAAAGATGAAAGAGTATCTTAGCCAGACAGTAAAGAGTTTAAAAGTTTAAGTCTTAAAAATAGATTATCCATTCTAATTTATACCTAAGAAATAAATGTTGAATGATAATAAAAAATTCTATTATATTTTACATAAATAATTTTGTTCATCAATAATCAAATAAATATTTTTATTACTATTAATGTTCTCATTAACAAATTTTTTTAAACCAGTGTAATTTGCTTTATTTATTTTGAAAATTGGTAAATTTTTAAAAAAATTCATAGGTAAGTCGTATTTTGATATACGATTTCAAATTGAGAAAAATATGCTTTGAAACACGACTTTATTTTTCTCGTATAGAAGCATATGATTTTTTTATACCACTATTTTTTTTTTATAATTTTTGAAGTCTACTTGAATTTTTTTTCAATTATTAATAGTCTGAATAAATAAATCATAGTCTTATTATTTTAACAAGTTTTATGGAAGACAACCAAAGGATTGATCTGTGTATGATTAGTATATTATACATTAAATGTTTTAATATATTCTATATTAGTTTTCTTTTTTAAAATCTATTATTTGTATATTATTAAGATATATTTTGTGAAATAATCATAACACTGTAGCTTGAAGGTTATATTAGTCTTCTAAGATATTGTAACTAGTATTGAGTGCATATTTGTTTTTTGAGTGTGTGATTGGAGTCCAAGAGACTTTTGTTAAAAAGAAAACTTTGGTTATAGAATACATTTTATTTGTTATAAATTAATCACTTTGATGTGCTTTTAGGGCGAGGAACATACGATAGATAGCATGTTATCGAAAATAAGTACCATAATAATTGATCCTAATCCCATGCATATTATATAAAGCATCCAAAATTTATGTACATCCATGTGAGTTTCATGCATACCTACGTACCACGTAATAACCGCAGAGGCAGAGGCATTTACGTACATGAAATAAAAAGTGCATGCAGGAACAACTAATTTCACAAAGGTAATGCATAACACAAAATCCAATATATATAACCTATCCAAACAAATCATCAAATTCTTTGTATGAACCTAGCTACTTTCCAATACCATATACAATATACCTTCCTCAACTCAACTTGAATAATTTAATAAACTATTTCATATCAGAACACATGCATGTAAAACTGATAAACTCCTTGCAAGTTCATATATAATCCTAGAGCAGTTTCCATCTTTATACATTGGAGCAATTTATTTCCCTCCCATGCCGGGACATGCACGTGACTTAATTAAGCAGTGCTCGGGTTTGAACAAACATTCAGACATGCTTCTCTATTTCTTTTTCCTTGCTAATCGTCTTCTGCTAAGTTAGTGTGTCGTGAGAAAACACTCTGAACTGCATTTTGTTGTGTGGATTGCAACATCAGAAAAAGAAAATTCTTCAAATCTTTTGTGGGATATCTTCATTAATTATCCTAGCTAGCTAGTTAATAATCAACTCTCAGGCCACGAAATCCCGCAACAACTGCGCAGCGAACCTCTTTCTGTTTTGGATGTCGATGGTCTCATAACTGGTGGCTGAATGAGAAGAAGGTGGGGCGTTGATGGCACCACAAAACTCATTGTCATTGGTTGTTCTCATTCCCAAGTGCATGTTCGGTGAGAGGAATCCATGCTGAGTTCCCGAGAGAGTAAGATTCTCGCTGTGTGGAAGTCCAAGAGTGAGAGAAACTCCGTTTCCATGAAACCTTGGAGCCAGTTGTTCAGTGACATGATGGAACCTTCCAATGTCTTCCATGGGAAACGCTCCAAAACCCCCACCATGGTTTTCAATGCCAAACTTTATGTTGGTTGCTTCTCTAGTGTGTGTCTCTCCATGAGGCTTCATTTCCATGTCCACTGAAAGGATGCTACCTGGAGAGTTCTGCATTTCAGAAGTGCTTCTTGGCTTGTTTGGACTTTGCATGTCCCCAAGATGAAAACCAGATTGGAGAGATCCTCCTCCTCCCATTGGAGATGTCGAGAGTGAATTAGAATTGGAGATCTCTGTTGGGGAAGTGGTTTGGTTATTGTTGAAGCTTTCTGCCTTTGATTGGAGAACATTAATCTGATCAAGCCTCATGCTACCAGATTCTTGTGCAGCAGCATTAACTTCTGACCATATCTCCTTGCTATTTTCTTTCGATCTATTTGTGTTGTTGTCCTGGGAGCCATTGTTCGGCTCTTGCTTCACCTCTTCCAAGTACATTTCTTCAACCATTGGTTTCCATAGCCGAACTCGCGCATTTATAAACCAGTTAGACACCTGCGTTATTATAAACTTATATCAATGTCATAAACCTTCCATATATATATATATATATATAGTCATTGTAAACTAACTTCACTCTCAACAATGAGATCGATTTGACAATCGACTTCCAAATTGAAGTGAAAATGGAGCATATGCTCAATTACTTAATGGTTTCAGCCTCAAGGAACGGGTTGGTAAAATATAAAAGAAAGAAATTATTGAATGGATATAGAAAATCTGAATGAAACAGGTAAATAAAAAATAAAGAGAAAATAAAAAGTCATTGACTTAAGAAAAATATAAAAAGGTAAATAGATAAATAAAAATAGAGAAAAAAATAACTACTGGTATCAAGTTTTTTTTTATTTCTCTTTTCTTTCGTATTTTTCTCTATCAAACACACTGACTTTTTTCTTCTTAAACATATATATATAAATATACCTGACTACGTGTAAGTCCTGTTTGTTTTGCAAGCATAACCTTGTCGGAGTCCTTAGGATAGCTGCATGCCACAATTACAAATGTCATTAAGATAAAAACAGAAATAATATATTTCAAGGTATCCTACAGGACTTATAAAGTTTGATTAATGGTCTTCAGTGTTATTATTATTTTGTTTAGATAATTCTTTTAATATACACTTACAGTAGAAAACTAAAATGTAAAATACTCTTTAAATTTTATCCGTATATAAGTGTTTATTGGTAGAAAGAAAAGTCGGATAAATGCTTACGGGTGCAGGAAATGCTCAAAAAGCCAAGCACGAAGAACAGAAACAGCACGTTCAGGCAAGCCTCTTTGGGGTCGCCACGCATTGTGTTGGATCATTCCTAACTGCTGCAACGCACGTTGTTGTCTGAGTTGATGATCAACATACCTAAGCCTCGAACCTTCTACCTTGACTCCTAAACAATCATCTTCACCTAAGATCTTGTTTGCTGTCTTGATTTGCGAAGAGATAGCATCTTTAAGACATCGAAATTGCTTTGAGATTGTCCTTAACGCAAGTGCAGTGTAAGACTTTGCTGCTCCAACACCAGCAGCCTGCTCAAATGATGTTACAACAATTTGCATTTGGTGGTGATACTGTCGGTACCTTTGCTCCACCTTAATGAAGTTCACAACAAAACACTTGTGTTAATCATACTAATCCCTATAGTTTGCTGATTGGACAATGCATGTGTGCATTTTTTTTACTTTTACGTTTTACCCTCTTGCACTCATGCAATTTTATTGTACCAAAATATTATATAATTAAAAAAAAATTATGTGGGATGATTGACGAAGAAAAGAAAAATATGAACTATTATGTAAATGGTGGAAGTGATCGATAATGTGTTCAGAGTTTCAGGTATAAATGGGGAACAAACCCAAATGGGCCCAAACCAAAATTATTCTCTGACATTCATCAGGCCAGACGTGACTTTTTTTCTACCAGTTTCGTTTCCCTAAGATCAAATAATGAGTGACAATCCTGTCAATTTCACAGTCCCTCTTGCAATGTCACATTCTTTATTATTTCCTCAGTCCCACAGTCAAAAGCTCAATCATACAAATATTATTCAAGTACTGAATCAACGATGCTCTCGGACTGATGAACAAGTGTGGCATAACATAACCCACCCCCGCACCGCAAGGAAGAGATAACACACTCAAGTACAGTAGTACTTTCCGCAAACTCAAACAAATGCATTGTAGACTCAAAAAATCATATATTCTTGGAAATCAATACCAAATCCCCAAGCATTAAGTGGAAAAATAATCATTACTACGTG